AGGCGAAATCTGCAGAATAGTTCTAAATCCAGAATCGCTCCCGATAGTGAAACGAGAAGTTGTTGAAAATGAAGCAAATTTCGGTCAACGATTTTATGGGAATTCTCGGCCCGCAATGCCGGATTTACGTATAAGTTGAACAAGCTGCAGCATATTCCCTTTAAAAAAATTTGACTCATATCCTTCATCCGTCCGTCGCATTTACAAGCGGTGTAACACCAGGGTGCCTGGGTTCAAGGATCCTACCCCTTGTCGAACATATAAGTTGTTTCCCTCATATGCCGATGCAAATTTCCTATTTGATCGGAATGTAACTGAAGAGGCACTACGAACCTAGAAATCCAATGCCGTATCATTACCTCTGCTACTGTGACAGCCTCTTAATCAGGAATAGGATACGCTTCAGGCCACTTGGTGAAGTAATTAATAACAACGAGGATGTATTTATTGCCATCAGCAGTTCGTAATGGAGGCCGCAAGATGTCAAAGGCGATACATTAAAAAAGCTCTCCTCGATGAAAAGTTGCAGCTTGCCTCGATTGCGTTTCTTCGGTCTTTTTTATTTATTTATTTATTATTATTATTTTTTATTTTATTTTTTTTTGTATTAAAAGTGTGCATTATACGACGAAATAAAAAGAGTAAGAAGAATTGGATTTTTGTCAATTTTCTTTGACATTTTAAGCGAAAATAGGTCGATATGTACATGGATAAAGTCAAGGGAGTGCGCAATGCCATTTTTTTTGAAATTCTGGGATGCTTTTTTAAGTGAAAATATGTCGACGTGTACATGGATACCGAGTATGTGCAATTCTTAAAAATGTGGCAAGTAGTAGGTGATTTTGCACTTTCCTCCATCTTGGAAAGCCTGTCACTGTGATATCACAATTAAAATATTTTTAGTCGCTAAAGACAGTGAGAAAAAGTTTTTAACCATCTAGGTTGTACCATCATGACCTTAAGTTTATTATGATTGTCCCTCTCACACATGGGTATCTAGTATCCGAAGTCTGCGTTTGCAAAACATTTACACTGCACAAGTATAGTAATTTAGGTATCAATGAGGGCATACATGAAAGTGTTAATATATTACTTGGAATGCACATAAACAACTCTTAAAGAATAAACCATGTTTGAACCTGAGTACAGAGAAGCATAACAAAGTAAATGAAGACAGAAAATAAAGCATTAAATAAATATTTGCAATTAAGACACAATAACACGCCGAATAAATATTAATTCAGAAGTCAAACAACAAAAATCAGCGTTATATTTACAAAATTTTCACAGGACTAGTTTCGATGGTTTTACCGAACCACCATCCTCAGCTGCAAAACCGCAAATGAACAAGATAGGAAATAATGTTTAGATAAGATAAGAAAGCTTGGACAAGAATAAGCAAGTGGCGCCATCTGTTGCTGAAACCAGAAATAAAACATAATTTCTTTAAAGGCCGAAGGCAAATTTGAATTGGAATTAGGATCGTTAACTAGAACAGAAAGATTTTTATGAATGTGAAATGCCTCTAGCAAATCCAATTCTCCAATGGAAGATGTTTTTTGAATAATTTTGGCAGTAGCAAAATTGAAAGTGTGGTTTTTGGACCAACAAAGTTGAGCAACAGAAGACTTCTGTGTTTCCTTTTTTCTAACGTATGCCTCATGTTCCTTTACGCGAAATTTTAAGGCTCTCTTAGTTTGGCCAATGTAAATTAAACCACACTGGCAAGGAATCCTATAAATACCCCAGGAATTCATATCCGGAATGGGGTCCTTGAGTATGGAACTCGGAATTTTATTGATGGGAGAATAAACAATCCGAAAGTTAAATTTCAGCAAAATATGTGCAACTGTATAGCTAATTGATGGAAAGAAGGGAATGACAACAGAATTTTTATAATCTCCTAAAACAAGAGTCTGCCTTTTAGTGTGCTGAGATGAGAATTTTTTAACTGCTTGATTAATAATGTTGGGTGAAAAGCCCCTGTCAATAGCTATTGCTTTTAAATAATTTAGTTCTTCATCAAGGGCTAGTTTGGAGGAGCAAACTTGAGGAGCACGGAAAACATAGGAATAAAATGAAGCTAACTTTTGTTTAGTCGGATGACATGATTTAAAGTGTGGTGGAAGGCAAACCGATGAAGGTTTACGGTAAACCGTAGTACTGAAGTTGGATGTGTTACGTGTGACCAGAATGTCGAAAAACGGAAGAGAATTGCAAGTCTCAAGTTCAAAAGTGAACTGAATAGCAGGATCAATAGAATTCATTGTTGAAAGAACTTTATTTAAATCATCTTTATTAGTTTCAAACAGAGTAAAAGTATCGTCTACGTAGCGGAACCATGCCGAGAAGTTTAAAGTTTCAAACAATTTTGATTCATAATAATGCATTAAGATATCAGCCAGGATGGGACTGAGGGGGCTTCTCATGGCTATTCCCTCTTTGCTAGTAATATTTATTTTGGAAAACAAAATGTGTTTATTTCAAACAGAGTTGAGTGAGAGAAATTAGCTCATCAATTTCGATGCAAGAGAAATGAAATTCGCGAAGTATGGTTTCTAGACACCTTAATGCACCCTCCACTGGGACATTGGTGAATAATGATTTTACATCAAAAGAAACCATGAGTAAATTACTAGGAGAAATTTCTCCCAGTAATTTACTCATAACCATGAGTAAAAGAAACCATGAGTAAATAATGATTTTACATGAAAAGAAACCATGAGTAAATAATGATTAGTAACCATGAGTAAATTACTAGGAGAAATTTCTCCCAGTAATTTACTCATAACCATGAGTAAAAGAAACCATGAGTAAATAATGATTTTACATGAAAAGAAACCATGAGTAAATAATGATTAGTAATTTACTCATGGTTTCTTTTGATGTAAAATCATTATTCACCAATGTCCCAGTGGAGGGTGCATTAAGGTGTCTAGAAACCATACTTCGCGAATTTCATTTCTCTTGCATCGAAATTGATGAGCTAATTTCTCTCACTCAACTCTGTTTGAAATAAACACATTTTGTTTTCCAAAATAAATATTACTAGCAAACTGAGGGAATAGCCATGAGAAGCCCCCTCAGTCCCATCCTGGCTGATATCTACATGCATTATTATGAATCAAAATTGTTTGAAACTTTAAACTTCTCGGCATGGTTCCGCTACGTAGACGATACTTTTACTCTGTTTGAAGCTAATAAAGATGATTTAAATAAAGTTCTTTCAACAATGAATTCTATTGATCCTGCTATTCAGTTCACTTTTGAACTTGAGACTTGCAATTCTCTTCCGTTTTTCGACATTCTGGTCACACGTAACACATCCAACTTCAGTACTACGGTTTACCGTAAACCTTCATCGGTTTGCCTTCCACCACGCTTTAAATCATGTCATCCGACTAAACAAAAGTTAGCTTCATTTTATTCCTATGTTTTCCGTGCTCCTCAAGTTTGCTCCTCCAAACTAGCCCTTGATGAAGAACTAAATTATTTAAAAGCAATAGCTATTGACAGGGGCTTTTCACCCAACATTATTAATCAAGCAGTTAAAAAATTCTCATCTCAGCACACTAAAAGGCAGACTCTTGTTTTAGGAGATTATAAAAATTCTGTTGTCATTCCCTTCTTTCCATCAATTAGCTATAAAGTTGCACATATTTTGCTGAAATTTAACTTTCGGATTGTTTATTCTCCCATCAATAAAATTCCGAGTTCCATACTCAAGGACCCCATTTCGGATATGAATTCCTGGGGTATTTATAGGATTGCTTGCCAGTGTGGTTTAATTTACATTGGCAAACTAAGAGAGCTTTAAAATTTCGCGTCAAGGAACATGAGGCATATGTTAGAAAAAAGGAAACACAGAAGTCTTCTGTGTTTCCTTTTTTCTAGTCTTCTGTTGCTCAACATTGTTGGTCCCAAAACCACATTTTCAATTTTTCTGCTGCCAAAATTATTCAAAAAACATCTTCTATTGGAGAAATGGATTTTCTAGAGGCATTTCACATTCATAAAAATCTTTCTGTTCTATTTAACGATCCTAATTCCAATCCAAATTTGCCTTCGGCCTTTAAAGAAATTATGTTTTATTTCTGGTTTCAGCAACAGATGGCGCCACTTGCTTATTCTTGTCCGGGCTTTCTTATCTTACCTAATCATTATTTCCTATCTTGTTCATTTGCGGTTTTGCAGCTGAAGATGGTGGTTCGGTAAAACCATCGAAACTAGTCCTGTGAAAATTTTGTAAATATAACGCTGATTTTTGTTGTTTGACTTCTGAATTAAATATTTGCAAGTTCCATAGCAGGGGGAAAGTATGACGGTTGTCTGCTTAAAAGAAGTACGTCATCGGATGACAACCACAACAGCTATAGAGCTACCATAGCATACCAGCGGCCGAGCGGTAAATTCGGTAATTTGGAAAAACGGGGGATCGGAAAGAAAGAACTGTGTACCTTGAGCCAAATGAGCGATAAGCTACAGAACATGGTATTAAGGATATCATCACCACGCCTGCAATATCCTTAATGTATTATGTAACAGATTCGTGTTTGTTTCTATGAGTTATGAACTCAAACGATAGTAGACTTTCAAATGATAAGTACACTATTAATGATAGTGAGCAAAATGAAATTTTATACTACCTTTTGTGCATCCTAATTGGGAAAACTACTTTGTCGAAAGTCATAGGAAAATATCCATCAACAGACAGAGCGATGTGTCAATGCCTGCAAGCGAATATGCTTCAAAAGAAGATTTTAAGTGCTTTTAGTTTCATCCATCTATCAAATTCAGCTATCCAAAAAATATTGAACTTTAGATAAAAAATAGTAAAGTAAAGTATTTTTACTTTGATTTCAGGAAGAAAACTAGCATGGATGTTACTTTTAACGAGTTTGACAAAATGATCACATTTTATTTTTATTCCGACAAATGAGAAGCCTCAGTCTGTATTGTACTGGAAGAATTTGTATGTAATGGCAACTGGTTTAGTTTAATGTTTTTCCACTAGTTTTGATTTTCGGTCGAACTGAATGTCTGCTAGTGAGGTTCATAGACCCTTACTGATCGAGTGGTGCGTACTTCTAGATCAGTTTCTGATTAAATCTATCACTGTAACTACTTTGCCATTATGTTTAAATAACGGAGGATGTGCTTTTTACATTTTTGAATGTATGTCATGACTTCCGGTGTATTCTAGGTTATTGCACTAACACGTAAGTTCCTTTTCTTTTTATTCGATGCATATTTAAATAATTTTTACTGAGCAGATTTTAATGTATTCTCGCCAGCATGTATTCGAACGACTTATATATATGAAAATTGGATTACAGGATATGTAGTTGGCTTTTGAATTATGAAATATTTTGTATTATTTATCTTTTTTTGGTTGAGTTGGATTATATTGTAAATGTTTATACTATTAGATGTTGTGATATATTTGAATATGTAGCTACATTAACATATGCATGTTCACATCCAGAATAATCCAGCTCGTGTGTTTTATTTATAACTTTTTGTAATGTCTTGTAATGAATTTTGTTTTTTATTGTAGTGGAACTAATATATAAAATACATAAAGCATATACTAGCTTAGACCAAGTTTATGTTTATTTTTATACCAATAGATTTCTTTCCCATCCTTTTATTAGTTACCCTACTATACAGTATTATGAAATGCATTGAAACATTATGTAATTATAACTTCATAATTTTTATCATGTTTGCCTTATCATTCCTTCAGTGTTAATTTAAAAATAATAGTGAAATAAAACTGCATTTTATCACAGTATTATTTTTTAATTAATATTGAAGGAATGTGATTCAATTAGCAAACATAACTTAACATCAGATAAATTTAACTAAAGTATCTATCTATATTAGTGGTATTTGATTATTTTTTTGAGAAAATGAAAATTATTCTTCCATTTATCTTTATAGTTATGCAATATTAGACAGAAATACAGTGTGTAGTTATGTAAATTAACTTTTTTACAATTAGCAGAATGGAAATCTGAAGATATAAATTTATAATTTTAAATAAAAATTTTACTGTAAAAAAATCATAGTAAACTATTAAAACTGCTGTAAAATTAAGCATAATATGGATAGTTAAATACTGTATTCTTTTGTCTGACTGTTTTTTAGATCTAGAATAATAACACTACTTACATGTTATCTCTACCACCTTAATAGAAGTTGTGAAATTTTAGCAGGATGTGTTACTTAGAATCGGCTACCGCATCATGCAGCAGCACGACAGGTTCAGGGTTCAATCCTTGGGCTAGGTAAGGTTGACTCAGCCTTTCATTCCGTGAGTGGCTCGATAAAATGAGTACCAAGTTCGTTTGGGGACTAAATACCAGGGGTCCTGCAATAAGCTGACCACTTGTCCAGGCAAAGCACCCCAGAGCACATGGTCTAGAAAACAGATATCAGAGCACTGCCGGTCATAGCTCTCTAAGGGCTGTTTGTGCTGCCGAGTTTAGTTTACCACAACAAATACCACAACAGTTTCAGAAAAATGTATTATTTTTGTTTTACTCTATGAGATCATTATTTTCAATAATCAAATATATTCCAGAGTTCTGGAACTACACTTAACATATACACAATGCATGTTCAGATTTACAAGTGAATTGAATCAGCTGAAATACAAATCCCAGATAATAAAACAAACAATAATTGCTAGCAGTAATTACTTACACATTTTAACTTGCCTTCTTTAAAAATATCGTTTCTTACAATTGTTTAATTGATTTTTTACTATCAGTATCTGCTGTCTTAAAGTCAAGAACTGAACAACAAAAGCATTAACAATTTCGGTGAATGTTCCGATTATGGTAACTTGGCAATTTTTGGGCGACCATCCCTGCTACAGAAACCTGCTAGTTTTTTTTTTGGACGGCATTTTGTTTTCATGAAGTAAAGGCTTTTTTTTTTTTTTACTCAACATTTTTTCCAGCAATCTGCTAGCCGAATTACACTTATGCTAGAACTTTTATGGAACAAAAGTGCTTAATCATGACAAAAATTAGGTGCAAAATTGGGAGAAAGTGCAGAATCGCCCACTGCTTGCCGCGTTTTTAAGAATTGTATATACACGGTATCCATCTACACATCGACCTATTTTCACTTAAAAAAAATCCCAGAATTGGACAAAAATGGCATTCCGCACACTCTTGACTTTATCCATGTACAAGTCGACCTATTTTCACTTAAAAAGTCAAAGAAAATTGACAAAAATCCAATTCTTCTTACTCTTGTAAAAAGCGAAAAACAAATAAGTGGGCGATTCTGCACTTTAGCAGAGAAATTGTTTCTAAGTGCTTATTAGCTAAAATCACGATCGGAATTCTCCGGAAAATGTCACGACATGTCTCATGATCTCTCATTTCTCCGAGACAAAATGATCTGTGATTCGAAATGTGTACTTCTCAGATCTTTGCTAAAGTCCTACATAGTAACCTTTATCGCCTTATCAAAATGTCGCCAAACTACCTGTTACCATATTCCAAAGATTAGTCACAATTTCATCATATATTTCAGTAACTTTGAACAAACACAAAGAAATATATCTCAGAATTGCAAAGAAATAAATAACTGCTTCATTGTTGCTCTTTTTACTTGCCAGATTTGGTACGTGTAAACTACTTTTTGTTTTCTAAAATGAAGTTTCACCTTAAATGTATCATATTAAGAGCATTTAAAATGTTAAAAAAGGGGACAATTAAAAAAAATAAATAAAAATAAATTAATATAAAAAAATCTGAAAGCTCTTGGATTTTATATTATGGCAAAAGGGGTATTTTTTTTTTAACATTCTGTGTGCTAGCTTTATTTATTAAATATCATATTCTTTGCAATTAAACCATAAATTTAATTGAACAGCAGTATGACAAAATAATTTAAAAAGAGCATATCTTTAGAATTTCCGATATACAGTCTCGTGCGTTGAAGATAAAAATATCCCCCCCCCGCATAGTATTGCCATTGTTCGCTTTGAAATCGTTGAGTTTGTTAATAAAAAATTCATTAAAGTTTTACAAAATATGAAATAGGTAATAAAACAAATTTCAAATTTGGGCTTCCAGATGCCCACATTTGAGTGGAGGACTATGTTATTCAGAATTTGATGTCTCTAGGTGCCATTGTTTTTTTACAGTGCAAGAAACATACATCATTCATGCAGATTCTTCATTATTTAATTTCTTGAAATGTAATGCAGGGCTCTAATATTTGGTGGCAACAATTTCAAAAGTGAAATGCCTTTATAGTGAACTAGTGCAAAATGCCAAAATGAAATTAATAGCCCTTCTGGGAAAATTGTCCCTTTGGGCTAAAAAAACTTGGAAGCAATTATCTTGTATGGAGACATGCGAAAGCTTTAGAAACATGTGAAGATAAGCATAGTATTAGGAATAATTTATCTAGAAAGAAAAATTGGTAGAGCTATTCCTTTCAAATTTTAATTTATTATGCATATAGCTATAAAACTTTAAGACTGCACTATGTAGCTAATTTCTTTTTAAAGCAGACTGTAATATAATCAGAAGAGTATATCTTTTGTAATGAATTTTTCATCTGGAATGGCGATGCTCAAACATTTCATTTACTCTACCCTCTAGTCGTTATGAAAATGAAGTATGTGTATGAATGTGTCTTAATGTACCACTTTTGTTGAAACAAACGTTCTGGTTTACTTCTTATTTTGGGTCATTAAATTTAGTATATACAGCATTTTTTTTAACTAGTATTAAATAATTTATAATATAATGATAATTAATCTATATACTGTTAGGTCTGCATTATTTGCAGGCTTTCCTTGCCAGATATATTCAAGGATTAAGTAAAATTATGTATGTTTTATGTACATACAAGCTTAAAGAAATTGAAATAAAATGCCCAATATTAAAATCTTGTAAAAAGCGGTGAAATTTTGACAGTGGTATAGCTAGAGTGGGGCAAGGGGGGACATCTGTGCCCGAGCGCAGCATCCAGGGTGCGCCAAATTGATGCTACGAAATTTTTTACTGAAATGTTTTCTATTCTTGGCACACCTAAAGGGGTGCAAATTCTTGAGATGTCCCCGGGCGCTGGAAACCCTAGCTACGTCACTGAATTTTGAAATAAGTATTAGCTTAACAAAATGAAAATTATTTTCATGAATGCATATGTATCCATGTGGGCTTTTCTCTGTATAGACTTTTTACAACATGGCTTTTTATCCATGAGGTTATTTTTTTGTGTGGATAATCATGATTTAAAGTTTTATTTTCTTTCTTTATTTTGTATGGCCTTTTATATGGTTGCCATGTTATATATATGTAATATAAAAAAATATGTAAGACAAAGTACTGTTATTAATTTTTAATAGCCCTTTAAATTTTTCTTTTAATTTGGATATTTCCCCTTTCCATAAGAATAATGATGTCGATAATTTGCAAACTGACACTCAAATGGCCAATATCAAAACTTTTAATAGCCAATGGAAATTGCAAACCATAACCTTTGTCCTTTTCAACTAAGTGTTCGTGTTGAAATATGCTGCATTTTGCTGTCTGCTTTCGCTTCTGTCAACTTGCTGCTACCTGTGCTCTTCAAAAATACAATAAATTCTGTAACAAATGCACTTTGTGTACCAATATATTTTGTGTTAGTTGATGAAAATGTTTGTGTGCAAAGATAAAAAAGAACATAATTAAATTCAGCCATGTCTGCTAGTTTCTTTATCCATCTCTATGTTTGTTTCAACACTTCACATTATTACATGGAGTTTCCAATATATTAAATACACATACATATATATCATTTATGGCTTACTCAAAACTCATATGTTTAGCTGTTTTCCTAGATTATTTTAAATTACATTAAAACAGATAAAAATGCGTAAAAAATTTGATTATCTGAATACTTTTGAAGCAAACATTTGATTAAGTTTACATTTATTATGGTAATAATTTTTACCAGAATCATACCAAATTATGTAAATCAATTTTATGTAAAAAGTTATAGCCATTCTTATTCCCTTCCCTCCCCCCCAAAAAAACTCAGTCTGATATTAAAGAAATGTGAACACAATCTTTATTTGCAGTGATCTTCAGTATGTGCAAACAGCATGTTCTTTCACTTTAAACAACTACACATGTCGTAGCATCTGTGCCCATTTTGTCTAGTTGATTACTATAAATGTTTTGAGAAGTCTTTAATCATTACT